TATTAATCACCAATCATGCAAAATCTCCCATTTATGAAGACCATCAACGATCGATAAAACTTTGGAGAACGATATTCTCAAGCTACCGACCCCTTTCCCTGTTCACCACGCATATTAATCAGCATTGAAAACATTGGAAACGTTGAAAATTTTCCATGTACCCAAGTGCCTACAAGGAACGTGAATAATAAAAAAAAAAAAAATTAGAGAACGACACCCTCAAACAACCAATTCCTTTTCCCAACGACAGATATCCATGTTAATCAACAAACATGCAAAATCTCTAGATATAAGCAACATGAATAATCGATAAAAGTTTGGAGAACGGTACCCTTGTTGCAGGGTGGCGCTCACGGCACTGCCACGACGATGGTACCGCACATGTCTTACCTGGTCCCGTCGTAACGAGACATGACGTCACGACATGGCGTCTGCAGGTGAAACAGCGAGCTGCTGGCGCTGTGTAAGTGAGCGCACTCGCTAGTCGATCCGATTGGCCGAAAGGGGGAATCCCCGCCCTTGCGCCGCGCTCTGCACACCGTTTGCCCGGTTATCCCCCCACCCCCCTCCCTCTCTTCCCCCACCAACGCTCTCTCGCTCACTCTCTCTCTCTCCCTCCCCTTTCGCCGGATCTCTATCTTCGCCCCTTTATCGCGCTCCCCTTTCTTTCTCCCGCTCTCTCGCGCATCTTCACTCCCCCCCCTCTCCTCCCTTTTTTCTGCAACGCGACTCCACTGCGTCGTCCCTTGTTTCGCGACAGTGTGCGCACCCTTGGCGCGCTCGCGCGTGCAAATACTCTCGAGAGATGCATAGAGTGGCGGTGAGACACGGGCGGCTCACGGATACACACCGGGGATTCTTCATCCAACGCCTGGACCGGTGTGTTTACACCTCTCTCGCGGCGCAACGCGACAACACGACGCGAGAGACGCGACGCGTCCACAAGGACCACCACCACGCGATCCCTCTAACAAACCCGTTCTCGTTCTCCTTTGTTTACCGGGCTATTATCGGTTCGAGCGACTTTTCGCCTCGTATGTGAACCCGTACGGGGACTTATGTTACGTAAAATTTGTTAGGCATACCGTATTACACTACGCGTCGCGGGCATACGAGGTGTCGGGGGTAGGAAGATATTTTTGGAACGGTTACTTACACCGGGAGGAGGCAAAGGACTGGAATACGCGACGCTTCCTGGATCTCTCTCTCTCTCTCTATTCCTGTGCTGAACGATACGAAACGGTGGTGGGGGAAGAAATGAGTACGATACTTCGGCTACGGGTTATTATTATTCCAAAGTATTGTAATAGGATTGGCGTGGCGAGCGCGGGGAGCGTGTAAGAGACGTGGAAAAGAACAGAGAGAAATTTCTAGAGTGTACGAGAATGTTTCCCCCCGTTGCAACCAACGACCAAGGTATTGGCTCGTAATTTATGAGTGCTACCTCCGTCCGTTCGCTGATTGAACGCAGTAAAACTTATCTAGTCCGTAATCGAGGATTTTCATTAGCACCGGTGTAATTGTCTGCGTGGCGCACGTGGATGAATTTTCGATGCGAAAACAACCCGATATTTTGAATATCTCGTGGGTGACGTCAATTGTTGGATGAAGAATGACAATAAGGCTCGGGGAAAATTGGTTTTTGTTTGCCGAAGATGTGACGTCATTATGGGTCACGAATTTTTATGACGTCACGGAATAGTATTAATCATTAAGCAGGTATAAAATTTTTAGTGCGATACACGTTAATAAGCGTTACGAGATATTCGTAATGGCGTCGATGCGGCCGGTATATGCACGAGAATAGTACGAGCGAGTCTCGTATACAGGCATTAAGTTTCAAAGTCACCTGCACCGATTCACCAATCGAGAAAAGTAACATTCCGGCAGGAAAACAGAATTTGTCATTGTACACGCGTGGCGAATTCCGTAACCATCGCGGAGGCTGTTATACCGGCGCCGATAAAAAGAGAATATTCCAAGAATTAATGTCAGCCTGGCGAATAAAAACGAGATTCAAAGCTTGGGCAAACAGTGTAGTCAAAGGGTGTCGTTGAAGACTAAATCGACCATGGACGAAACGTGCCAACAATAACAGTGCTAATTCTGCTGGGTGACACGACCGATTTGTCTTTTTTGTTCTATCCTAACGTTAAATCGCGGGGATCCTCCGCCGAGGATATCGTTATTCTTGGACGGAACGAGATAAATTCCGTTACAATAGCACTATTCACCGTAAATATCAATCATCGAGCGTCGACGAATCGCATAGGTGATTTTTACGATTCTGTAAAAGGCCGCCACGAATTATCAGGCGTAACATTTACGGGGCATTAAATTCATCGAGGTTTCTAGGACGATCACGGTATAAACAAGCCGAATGTGACTTTTATATCAAGAACGATAGGCACGTGCATAAAACTCGTAGCCGGGTATACATAAAAAAACGCGTTCCAAGCCACCGACGAGGCAACCAGCCTGGCATTGTTTGTAAACTGTGCCGCCCTTCTGGCACGCCGTAGCATTTCGGTGTATGTATTCCCAGTGATCTACACCGCAAATACATAAATACGCAGTCGACGTTCTATTGTCAGACCAATTTTATCGATCTACCCGTCGACCAATCGGCGAACGCGTGTCAACACGCGACACGACGCAATTTTCATCGACTAATAACGCTATCCTCGTTTCACATTCTACACAGGCATGCTATACAGATAACGTTTACAAGCTACCCGCGTTACTTGGAATAACAGAAAATGCTCGCCTCGTAACGCGACTCTACATGCACGCGTGAATCTTTCGCTCGAGCAACTAAAAATTGTCTACTACGCAACGCGACTCTACGGACACGCGAACCCTGACGCGAGAATCTCTCGATTAAAAACACCGAAATTGCTACGGTACGCAACGAGAAACTACGTGCACGTGAATCTGTTTTTTTTTTTTCCAACGTGTACTTTCGTAAAAAAAAGTGGCAACAGAGTCACGCGATTAGAATGGATAACGAGAACGATAAAACATTCTTATTGTTACAACGCTTAACAGTAGAATACGAACGAAGTAAAACAAACACTTACCAGTGGACTGTCCGGCGTGTGTTGATGATGGGCCATAGGCATATTGACCACTGCCACCCCTCCACCAGGGTTCCCCATGTCCTGATACTCGTCGCTCATCTCCATCGCGTAGGATGGTAACGGTTCTCTGTTCTTCACCCGAATTTTGGCTGCTTTTTACCGCAACGCGGTCCCTCACGACACGAGAGACACCCCGCAGCGAAAACACGCTGCCGATAAAAACGATCCTAGGCGAGACGAGCGAGCGAACGGACGGCTCGATTGCGTCGTTTCAGCACCGTCTAATGTTCCGCACACGCTAGGGCTCTGCCCGCGTATTCAGAAAGAAATCACGCCGTTGTTGAAACGTGCGTGAAAACGCGAACGGAACACCGCGTGCGCGACACCGTACGTTCTTTTTTTTTTTTTTCTCTCGGTAAACACCAGCCGATAAATATATCGCGGGCCGCGTGAATCGCACGTGACGCGAAACGAGGAAATCTTAATGTATCGGCTCCGTCGGTAAGTGAATCACGTTACCGGTGAAAAATTCGCCAGGATTCGTGGTAACTATCATCGGCACTGCGAACAAACACTGTTACCGCGACGACGCGAGTAATACGTGTCCATGTCTCTCGATTAATCCGTGTTTCGTACACAAAAAACTCGCACGATCCACTCTGATCCGATGTAGAGGTTATCTGGATCGAAGTCGTTCTCGTGTGATCGCCGATTCTTCCTGGTGGACGACGTGGTGACGGTGATGGTGATGGTAGTGGTGGTGTTCGAGGGCTGTCACCAAGGTAAAAGAAGCACACGCGGCTCGCTGATGGCTGACATGCGCGCGAGCCTTCTCTATCGCGAACGTTTAGCGATCGTCGTCGTCGCCGTCGTCGTCTTCGTCTTCGTCGTGGCCAAGCCAACACACAACAGCACACAGGAGAGAGGAAAAAGGCGGAAAGTTTACGAGCGAACGGCGCGCACGCGTACGCGTCTCTACGTGTTGCCAGTGTCGTATACGGTACAGTGGTAATGCGCGCACACCGCGATACCGAAAGGGACTGACACTCCTGGGAGGAAGGAAGGAAGACAGGACGGGGCGGGAGTGGGGATAAGGGGTAAGGCGACGACGACTCGTCGGCCGAAGTTGCTGGGGAGGGGCGAGGGGAGGGAAAAGGAGCAGGACACGAGGAGTTCGGGTGTGTTCGCGGGCGCGACGAAGACGGAACGATTTTTACCGATGATTTGGTGGTTACACGCGCGACGTATTGCCATCGACTTCGTTCAGCATCGCGTGTCGATTGAACGCGTCCTCCACTCGTCCGACAACACGCGTCATCAGCCGAGAAGCGACGATGTCGAACGTGTGAAAAAAAATCGTACAACGAGTACACCGGCCGCCGTCGATTCGACTGAATGGGGAAACTAAACGGAAGAAGAACGAACCGGCAGAGTAGGAACGAAGGCAGACAAACCGAAGACGGAGCTGACGCGCGCACACTCGCGTCCCCTTGCGATCTGACGCTTGGATGTTGGAGCCGCGTTCGCGATCCCCTCTACTCTTACACGCCTCGGTCGAGGCACCGAACGTTCGCTGGCAGACAGGACGAGCAGGCAGGCGAAATAGCATTCGGTGGGCGGAGGCCTAGGACGCCAACGCCGTCGGCTGGCAGCGCATATCAGGCTACGGTAGGCGGTAGACCAATGGTCACGCCCGGTATCGACACCTCCCTCTTTTCCTTCACTCTATCCTCCTCTCTTTCTCTCTCGATCTCGCGCTTACCTCCCTTACCCTTTCTCACTCTGATTCTCTCTTTCGCTCTGCTAAACTCTCTCTTTCGCTTATCCTATCGGATAACGACCCCTGTGCTCTACGAACTCGAGCGTGGACGACCGGCGGAGATTTTCGGTGCGGTCGCACGGGATTTCCCTCGATGTTTTTCGCTTCCGTTTTATCCCGGGGATCGCGATACCTGCCTGCCTGTGAGGCGTGCGTGCAACGCGCTTCCAACCAGCGAACCAATACCACTTCGCTCTTTAATAAATTATTATCCTGCCGATTTTACTCCTCTCTCTCTCTCTTTCTCTCTCTCTCTCTCTCTGTTGCTCTATCTCAAGCGGCGAATTCAATTATTTAAGCGTAGGGAGCAATTACCGCGGTCGAACGATAACGATCGTCAGCCTCGTCCACGCTCCGGTTGACGTCTATATTTTCCTCTATTTTCCTACACGCTCGTTAACTCGCGCGAGACCCCACGAGCGATCGGCGGATTCGATGGAAACGCCCGAAGAGATCGTCTCGATGCGATTCCCCTCTTCGTATTTTCATACCGGTATCATGTTCCATCGAGGATACGGCGGCGTAAGGTTTGCCGGTAATTGACCATGATTGCAACGATCCTTCTGCGCGATACCACGCTGCCAAAGATCCTCGTCACGACATCTGACTTCTCCCTTTAGTTAGATACACGATCATTTTTCACGATTATACGTAGGCGTTTCCACGAAGAACTATCTTCCTAGTAAAATGTACTTCTTAATTTGGCCAATTATTAGTTTTCGATCCCCAGTTCAATTCACCGGGCGCCATGTCACGAGTCAGGGACACGATAATCTCGAAAACATGGCCGACCGAACCGTGAACGTATTTTACCCACCAAATCAGCCGTGAACGAAAACTACATTGTCGTGGATCCTGTTCCATTCACTCGTGAACAATCTATTGTGCATCCTCACGCGTGCAGTTTACGTCCCGAGTATCCGAAACGAATACGATAAAACAACGAACGAAATCGAACTTTACACCGTAACAACTCTCGTTTGTAAATTGTTCCACGTTGCACACAAAATTGGGTGTTTTAACCTATCTTTATCTCCTTAACTCCTATATTTACGCGAAATAAAATATTCAGCGCTAACTCGGTCGATTACAGGCTTTCGTTTACTCGCGAACACGACGAAAGGATCAACCCTATGGGTCGATCGTTGAGGAAAATTGTTCCCACGAGTGACAAGCGACTTGGATGCATTTAAGACACCGCCGTAAGCAGACAGGAGTAACGCAAGTGTCTTTCTTCGCTGTACACGGTGCGGTAACGTGGTAAACCATGCGCAACGTCGACAATCGCGCAGGAGGAGGAGGTTGAAGCGTGCACGAAAGAAAGAGAGGAAGAGAGAGAAGAAGGAGAAAACGCGATCCTACCGGTAAATGGTATTAAACTTGAGGTTCTTTCGCCGAGCACCAGGCAGTTAACACTCGAACGGCTATTTGATTCCAACAGTAATAAAACTCATCTTGACTGCGTTGTCTATTTGTCAACGTTTCCGCGTTTCTCGAAGAGGGAACGTTTCGCTTTAATCCTCCAAGTCGAAAGGTGAAAAATTTGGAATTAAAACTGTTTCCTTTGCGCAGAAAACCTTTTAAAA